ACTGACACTGGTAAATACCCCGGCCTGTCTTGGAAAACCGTTCGTACCCGACCGGTAATCCATTCAGCATGAGGTCCTGTCCGAACCCGTTAGCGATCAGGGGGCGGGCTGAAGAAGAGATCGCAAAAAGAGATCAAAGAAAAGGGGAATGAACACATGAAATCTCTTTTGAAAGCCACTGTCGCAGCCGTGGCATTCGCTGCTGCCGGTTCGGCTGCAAACGCTGCTGATGTCAAAGCCTGTTTTGTGTACGTTGGTCCCGTGGGTGACTTCGGCTGGACTTACCAGCACGACCAGGGCCGTTTGGCAGTCGAAGAAAAGTTCGGTGACAAGGTTGAAACCGCCTATCTTGAAAGCGTTCCGGAAGGTCCGGATGCCGAGCGCGCTATCGAGCGTTTCGCCCGAGAAGGCTGCAACGTCATCTTCACCACTTCCTTCGGTTACATGAATCCGACGATCAAGGTCGCGAAGAAGTTCCCGGATGTGAAGTTCGAGCACGCAACCGGTTACAAGACCGCGGACAACGTTGCCACCTACAACTCGAAATTTCACGAAGGCCGGTACATCATCGGTCAGATCGCTGCCAAACAATCCAAGACAGGAACTGCCGGCTACATAGCATCATTCCCGATCCCGGAAGTTGTCGCTGGTATCAATGCATTCCTGCTCGGCGCGCAGTCGGTCAATCCTGATTTCAAGGTCAAGGTTGTTTGGGTCAACACCTGGTTCGATCCGGGCAAGGAAGCTGATGCTGCCAAGGCACTCATCGATCAGGGCGCCGATATCATCACGCAACACACCGATTCCACAGCACCTCTTCAGGTGGCTCAGGAACGGGGGGTCCATGGGTTCGGTCAGGCATCCGACATGATTAATTTCGCCAAGGATGCACAATACACCGCAATTATTGATGATTGGGCCCCGTATTACATAGAGCGTGTGCAGGAAGTTCTGGATGACAAATGGCATGCAGGCAGCGCTTGGGACGGTCTGGCAGAAGGTCACGTCGTGATGGCGCCCTACACGAACCTTCCGCCGGATGTCGTTGAGATGGCAAAGGCAACTGAAGCCAAGATAAAGGGCGGCTGGGAACCCTTCACCGGTCCGATCACCAAGCAGGACGGTTCGGTAGCTGCTGAAGATGGCGTCACACTCGATGATGGCGCGATCCTCGGCATGAACTGGTACATCCAGGGTGTCGACGACAAGCTGCCGGAGTAATTTGCAATACCACCGGACCGGGATACGTCCCGGTCCGGACCTAAGAGATCTGACGATCGGTCTCGATTCAGAGAATTGCTGGACGTTCCATTGTTTTCCCTTTGGTCAGGGCCGCTTCATTCCACTCTGGTTGTCTTGTGGATCGCGTCGGCGCGCCTGAAGATATCCGGCTGCAAGTCCATTCCCAGACCGGGGCCGCCAGGAATTGATATCATCCCGTTTTCAATGGGCGGCAGATGATCCACAAAATCCTGGTACCAGTTGTAGTAGAAGCCCCGAGCTATCTCCTGTTCCCTGACATTTCGAAGGCTGAGTGCGAGATGTGTCGAAACGGCGAGGGTGACGGGACCGGAACAGTCATGAAAGGCGATCGGGCGTGAACTCGCTTCGGCAAGAGCAGCTATTTTTCGTGCAGCCGTGACGCCTCCCGCCCATACGACATCCACGATGGGTGTCGAAATGTTGCCTTCGTCGATCAGAGACTTGAATTGTCCGAGGCTTGCGAGCGTCTCGCCGCCTGCCAGCGGGGCCGATGTCACGCTCGCCAGATTGCCCACTTCGTGGGGACGGTCCATCCAGACCGGATCTTCGATCCAGTCCATGTCGAGTGGTTCAAGTACGTTCGCGATTTTTGTTGCGGCATTTAGGCTCCACAATCCGTGCAACTCCGCCTTCAAGCGGATTTTGTCACCGTGTGCCTTGCGGATCCTTTCAAACGGTTCGACACCCCTTTTCAAATCCGGCAGGGAAATATCGACGCCATCAACAGCGCCGTCTGCCAGATCGAACGGCCAGATCTTCATGGAGGAGATGTTCATGTCCAACAGGGACGCGGCAAGGTCTTCGGGATGGTTTAAAAACCCATTGAGATCGTCATAAAGACCGCTGTCCTGTTTCGCGCCGTCAGTCCCGAAATTATCGGGTCTCACCGCCGAGGTCTTGGAGACGTAGTCCGCTCCAGCACAAGTGTTGTAGACCTGAATTCCGGTCCGGGTTCTTCCCCCCAGAAGATCGCATAACGGTTTGCCAGCCGATTTTGCAGCAATGTCCCAAAGCGCCACGTCAATCGCTGCGAGCGCCCGCACTTCCGCGCCGCTTCCCGTGAAGCCGACATATGGCTGCATCTTCATGTTCAGGAATTCAATCTGGCTGGCATCCTGTCCCAAAATTATGGGTGCGATGCGTTCGTGAACATCCGCTTCGCTCGGCCCGGCACCAAAATACGTTTCACCCAGACCGGTGCAGCCATCCTCTGTGTGTATGCGCACCCAGAGAAGATTGGGATGAGCGCCCAGTCGCAGTGTTTCAACGGCTTCAATCTTCACGGTTTTCTTCCTGTATCCCGGGATGAAACTTGCAACGTGCGTCGGTGACATGACGTTGCCCAAGCCTAGACACTGGATCACCGCCGAGGCAAGGATCTCCATCCCGGAATACGGTACACCGCTGTTTGGAAACGTCGGGTCAGAATGAGTTTGGGTCGAAGGCGAAAAATGAAACGCCGTACAAGTACATTTTTAAAAATTGGAGGTTCATGCCTGAATGCTTCAACTTCAATCCCATCCATCAAAAAAAAACGGTTTTGACGATCTTTCAGATTGCGTTGCAGATCTTGTCCAGGGCCCGGCATCGAAGATGCCACGAGTGCATTCGGCAATATCGGCAACCCTTTGGGTATCATCTGGGCGAGTGAACACGCCCAGATGAAGTGTTTTGTCTAGGCTTTCCTGGCGCGGCTGCGCCCTGCAAAACCAAGTACGCCGAGGCCGGCAAGCAGCAATCCGGCACCCGCAGGAAGCGGTACAGCTGTCGGTGCAGCCTCAATATCGATTGTGAAGAGGACAGTATCCGCCGTAATCGATCCGGCACCGGTTACACCAAACAGGGCTTCAAGCGCGCTAAATCCATTCCCACCTGACCCATCATCGATGTCTATCAGGCGCGTGATGGTGCCACCTTCAGTGTCGCCGAGTTGAATGTCCTGGCCCGGAAAGGCAGCCCCGAACAATTGGTTCACCTCTGTTCCGGCATCCCAGATGGATCTTCCCGTGATTTCAATCGTCTGTTCGATCACGTTGCCCGCTGCATCAAATATCGCGTAGGCAAGCGGATCGTCATTGCCCAGAAAGGTGTCGTTTGACGGTACAAACATCGACAGGAATGTCGCGTAGCGGTTCACTGTCGGATCGACGACATCAATGGTCAATGTACCGGATTCGCCATCCAGGATCGGTCCTCCGGGACCGAAGACAAACCCGCCTTGTGAATTGGGTTCGACGGCAAGACGCTCAGGCGCGATAAGGTTTGGTGGGTTTGGCGGAACCGGAACTTCCGCGATTTGTTCAATGCCGGCGCTTGCCGAGGCACCTTCATCAAATGCATCAAAGCCGCCTGAGTGAATACCTGTATAAACAGGCGTCACCAGGAAACCAAAGCCGTTGGAATTATTGAAAGTAATATCAATTGTTGCGGCGTTCGCTGAGCCCGCAACCAAGATGCCTATCACGCTTGCACCAAGCAGCGAGGTAATCTTTGACATGTCGCTCTCCACATTAACAGTGTTCAAACACCCCGATCGGGGTGCGGCTTGAACACTAAGGGAACCGCTGATCCGCTCTGCTCACTTCGACACACGGTCGGCACACGTTGACGTTAGGAAAACTAGATGTGATGTCTCGCCGACGTTTTTTGATTCGCTTAAATCAGAATTCTCGCGATTGAAACCTTGAGAATGGCGTCGAGGACTTCTTGAGACTGTGTTGAACGTGTGATGGATACTCCAACAGCCAGTAGAGTTGATCGTCTCAGGCGATTAATACGTCAGATACCCAATCCAACTGATGTCCCGCGAAGGGCATTGGTACCGCTTCAATTGTCTTGATTGCCACGATACCTGATGTGAATGTTGGCTTTCATGCGATGGGAAACCTGACAATGATTCAGCGACGTGAACTGATGCTCGGAGCTCTGGCTGCCGGCGGAACAACGATAGAGACATTGAAACCCGTTCAAGCTTCGACGGAAACTCCGGTGAAAGAAAGCGACGAAATGCCGACCGACGGATTTGCACTCGCGCTCGGAGGAGGTGCAGCAAAGGCATTTGCGCACATTCCGATCCTGGAAGCTATGGATGAGCTCGGCGTTACGCCAACGGAAATTTCCGGAACCTCCCTGGGATCCATACTTGGCGGGCTCTATGCAAGCGGGATGAGCGGCAAGGAAATTCGAAAATACGCCGTCGATTTGTTCACCAGGAAAACGCAATTATTCCAGAAACTGTTTTTGAAGGATGGTCGGACATGGTCATCTCTTTTCAACGTGGAGCGACCCGCGATCATCGACCCGATCGTGCTGTTTGAAACGGTGTTTCCAGCAGAGTTGGCCGCGGATTTTTCCGGACTGCGCATTCCAATGAAGATCATCGCGACTGACTTTTACCGGCAGTCCCAGGTTGTCCTCGAGGAAGGCCCCTGGCTGCCGGCCATAGCGGCCTCATCGGCGTTGCCGATGCTTCTGACGCCGGTCGAGATCGACGGCCTCGTGCTGATTGACGGCGGTTTCGTCAATCCGACGCCATTCGACGTTTTCGATGACAGCAAGCTCCTGACAGTCGGTATCGATGTCACCGGCAGCGACTATTCCCGCAAGAGCGGACTTCCGAGCGGAATGGACACCTGGATCGGATCATTCTCCATCACGCTTCACTCGCTCGTTGCCGCCAAGCTGGAATGCTCACGACCGGACCTGCTGATCGAACCACCCATCGGCAAATTCAAGACAATGGATTTTTTCAAGATCGAGGAACTTCTGGAAGCTGCGGATCCGGCCAAGGAGGTTTTCAAGCAGGAACTGTCCAGACTCCTGGAAAAAAAATGAACTCAGAACGCCGGTCCGCGCCTTGAGAAGATTTCCTTGAGCTGGTCGGCACGTCCTTTCGACCACCCGTCCGGTTCGACAACGGCAGCCCAGGCATCGATATAGTCTGGTGCAACATAGTAGTGCCCATACCGAGGAACATCGAGCGCGAACATGGAATCGAGAGCCAATTGAAGCATTGTGACGACCGGAAACCAGGACAGATTTTCTGAAACGTCAGGCGCTCTTGGCTGATTGAGCCAGGCCGGTGGCCGCACGGAGCTGTCAAATGTGAAATTGACGACCGGATCGCTGCCATAGTTGAGAAAGACCGCGCGCAAGGGTCCCCAGGGCGTAAAGTCGCCCTGCAAGCCACCGTACTGGTCCATGACGCGAACCAGGGACCCGTTGCCGAAAGTCGGCCTCCAGGCCGGGCTGCCGGCATTTCGGTTGTCACGCACTTCAGACCAATACAGGGAAAAGAAAGGGGAGCCGGCCCCCTTCTTTTTTGAAAGGGGCGCCCCCTTCTTTTTTGGGGGGAAAGGGGCGCCCCTTCTTTTTTGAGTGGGGAGGGGTGCCCCTTCTTTTTTGGGGGGAAAGGGGCGCCCCTCTTTTTTGAGCGGGGAGGGGTGCCCCTTCTTTTTTTGGTGGGAAAGGGGTGCCCCTTCTTTTTGAAAGGGGCGCCCCCTTCTTTTTTGAAAGGGGCGCCCCCTTCTTTTTTGGGGGGAAAGGGGCGCCCCTTCTTTTTTGAGTGGGGAGGGGTGCCCCTTCTTTTTTGGGGGGAAAGGGGCGCCCCTCTTTTGAGCGGGGAGGGGTGCCCCTCCTTTTTTGGGGGGAAAGGGGTGCCCCTTCTTTTTTGAAAGGGGCGCCCCCTTCCTTTTTGTGGGGAAAGGGCTCCCCTTCTTTTTTGAAAGGGGCGCCCCCTTCTTTTTTGGGGGGAAAGGGGCGCCCCTTATTTTTTGAGTGTGCCCCTCTTTTTTGAGCGGGGAGGGGTGCCCCTCCTTTTTTGGGGGGAAAGGGGTGCCCCTTCTTTTTTGGGGGGAAAGGGGCGCCCCTTCTTTTTTGAGTGGGGAGGGGTGCCCCTTCTTTTTGGGGGGAAAGGGGTGCCCCTCTTTTTTGAGCGGGGAGGGGTGCCCCTTCTTTTT